TGAATGCATTGAAATCTAACTTGGATTGCTTGTAGTTGATTCCGAAACCCTAGACCTTTGTCATTCTTTTTCAATCTTTAAAAGTCAACGTTTTAATCTTAATTGCCTTGATTCATTTCTTGTTTGTTTCATAAACTTTCACAACAACAATCTCTACAAATTTACTTGCGTATCAGTTAGATTTAATTTAGGTATTTGAATATTAGATTAATTTGGAATCCTCGTGGGAACCATACTTGGACTTGTCAAATGCTATACTACATCAATCTTGTGCACTTGCAAGGACAGACCAGATAGAGTGATTCCAAATTTAGGAATTTGAATAACATTATAAGGTTAAATTGTTTGTTTAGACTATTACAATCTATGTACCCTCAAATTTGAATAAAAAGGAAATGACGAAAACAAAATAGATTCCAAATAACTCATCATGTATATGTGTTATCTGAGCTGGGTTGTAATGGTTGTGAGAAAACAATAAACCATTTGATCTTTTGTTAATCAATAAGGAATGCATTCGAATCCTGTGGGATTGACACTTTGATTTGTGGATTAATTTTTTATTATTATCCACTTTCATGTCAATTTCCTCTACTTTCTGTTGATTTCTATTGAGTTTCATTATAAAAAAAAAAAAAAAAAAAAAAGAATTGTGGGTTAGTTCTAGGACTCACTAATCTGCAACAAATAGAGAATGAGTTTGTATAAATTCATGTCATTTACTTATTGTTGTTGAGGTAACAGATATAACTATTTGAATTTGTTATGGAATGCATAAAAGTGGTCTAAATAATCCTTCTAAGTATGTAAATAATCTTTTTTATTTTCAAAACCAGAATGCACACAGCCAAACGATATGTTAGTTAAAATTTGTATGTTATCCAGTGAAAGTAGGTGATTTTAATAAGCCTAAACAATTTCAGCCTAAAGAATTGTAAGCCAAGTACAAAATACTATAAAAGTGGCTTTAGTACCTTAAATAAAGTGTAACTATTTGTTATGGTAAACAAAAGGAAAAAAGTCACTTTCCTTCCTTGTCTCTGAGGCATATGTTTTTATGTGTGCCACTGAAGCCTTAGGATTTAATATTTTTGTTCTGCAATAAGCCTTGTTGCTTACCATGTTTGCTTCCTCTCCAATTTCCATGATAGTTCTTTTGTTGGAACTACAAAGTGTTCAAGTTTTTATATATGTCCATTATAGTTCTAACTTCTTATGTAGAATTGGATTAGATTGGATGCAAGAGATAATAGGATTCTGTTCTTTTTTTTTTTCTTTTTTTTTTTTGAATATGAAGATAATACAATTCTATTTGGTTCAGGAACTTGCTTCTTTTACTTCAATAAAGATAAATACAATAGAATTGCTTAATTTAATTTGTGATGCTCATAATACTCGCTTATGTATGTATGTGTTAAGATTTTATCTAGTTACAGCAGTTGTTCTTTAATTAAATAAACTGATTATCCTATTATGTAGGAAGTCATGTTGCACGTTGTTATGTTTACCAAGTCTTTACGTGTCTCCCAGTAGTGTTAGTAATGGATTAAGTTAGTAGGAGTTTAGAGATATTCATTTGTTAGCCTTACAACTTCAGATTTCTGCATAATTCACGAAAGCCACACATGCTAATGATCCTTCCCATTACCCTCTTTCCCATACTTTCTTTATCAACCCAAGAATTCCAGCCATCACTGATAACATATGATCATGTCAATATTAATAAAATGATATAATGATAATTAACAACACTTAAACATCCAATATCAATAATAATCAAATAATAATATCATGCATAGTATATTGCTCACGAAATTTAATTAGATCAATCTTTGTAAAAGGTCATCAAGAAACCCCTACCTCGTTTCCAAAGCTCTAGATCCAAGTTAAGAAAACACAAGCTAAGTCCTATATATATTCCTCCTCCAAGAATTCCTCACTACTCTCTCCCTCTACGTTTTTCTCTCTTTCCATGAACTTTCATGCAAGGTTAAATGCTTTCAAAAACAAAGGAAGTGTCCTATTTATAGTAATACTCATGAGGATTCCATTTGTTCTAATTGGTGGGGAGGTGATGACCATGTGGGAACTTGGTCTCCAAGATTAGGATAGCTATCATCAAATTGCCAACACCTTATGCTAAATAAAGCTTAGTCACCTCAGTAGAATGACACTTGGAGTCTAAAGTGTGTTTGTAAAAAATATCTAGGCCATTGAACTTGGTCAGCAAGAAACAAAGAGATAAAGTTGTTAAAAGCAATACATATACTTATTTATAATATTATTACTATTTTTTAATAACTAATAAGAAAATCTAAAAATATAACACGTACCAAAACAATTATATATATAAGTTATAAACTAAATATGTAACAAAATATTTAATTTCCCAAAATATAATATATATATATATTTATTAAAAATACAGGGTTTCACAAAAACCCAATCTCAAACTTAAATTACCAGTAGGATATAAGAGGTCATAGTATTCCTATGTTTTTACATCCTTGCCATCGGACTTTATATTTTATTTATAATTTATTTCAAGCATTTCATTATTAACTGTCATAATTGTAATTAAAACTCCCTATTAATACCATATCAATCACGCCATTTCTTTTGGTTGTCATTCCCTCCAACATATCGACCCCTAAAATTGCAAACCAAAAAAACAATGTAAATTACATATCCAATAATGTACATATGAAAAATATAAATATATATGTATATGTATAAAAGTATAGGTGTATTATTTACCCAAAAAAAAGGTCAATTACTTTGTAATTGAAATTTCCGTACATTTTTCATAAATTAAAAATAGGTACATTATTTAGAAGAAAAAAATAAGTTCATTATACTAGGTAAATTGTTTTACTAGGTATACATTATTAGCGAAAAAAATAGGTGCATTATTTAGCGAAAAAAATATATACAAAATATAGCGAAAAAATAGGTTCATTATACTAGGTAAATTGTTTTACTAGGTACATTATTAGAGGAAAAAAAAATAGGTACATTATTTGGAGAGGAAAAATAGGTTCATTTAAAACAAAAAAATTGTTTTCATAAAACAAACAATAAATAGATTATCAAATTATTTTTCAACATAATTAAAATGTACACTATTATTCATAAAACTATAATAAAATAGATTGCCAGTTGTATAATTCATAAAAGGAAAACAAAATTAATTCCTAAATTTAATATTGAATTTAAATTACTAATACATACGTTAAATAGATTACTAGTCGTAATTCATAAAAGGAAAACAACATTAATTCAAAAATAGATTACTAGTCGTAAATATATTACTAATAAGTTAAGGTTGAATTTAATATTTAATTTCAAATAAGTTTCTAAATTAATTCCTACATCTATTACAATCATTTGGAGATCTTTCCAAATTTAACGTGTGTCATTAGCTACACCCTCTCATAACATATTAAACCATAAATAGGGATAGTTTTGGAATCCGAAAAATATAATAAATCAAATTTTAACCTTGTTTAGTTAAATCCTAGTCACCGGGTATTATTTGAAAAAATTAGGTATTTTAAATAGAAAAAGAAAGAAAATGATTGTAAATAATTTAAAATGAATTTTATGGGTCTAAGCTCAATTAGAAAATGACGAAAACAAATAGACTCCAAATAACTCCTTGGTCTTAGGCATGGGCTCTGAGGGCGATCACCAAAGACCTCGAATCAAGGGGCCTCAAAACTTTATATATAATTATTTATGCCTGCACGATATTTATTTAAAGTTAAAAAATAGAAGGGCCAAATAAAAAAACTTGGCCTTTAACAACGGAAATGGTATAGTGTATTTTAGGAACCCTCTGGATCTTCAATAAGTTTTTAGTTGAACAGACATAAGAGCAACTCCACCGGGTAGCGTAACCCAAGGCTGGGGGGGGTAAAAAAAACGAGCTTCCAGCGGTGAGCCCAGGCCCGGGCAACGAGTGGGTCCCATGAACTCGGTTTGGCCCGAAGGCCAGTTCAGCCCGAGGTCGAGCCCGCAGGTTGGGTGACGTCATGCGCGACGTCAGCCCAACGTAGCTCCAACGGGTAGTAGCCACGTGTCACGCCCCCAGCGCTCCGATCTGCTTCTCTGAGTCCAATCCAACGGCTGACATTTTTTTGGCAATAAAATTATGAAAAAAAATCGAAATTTAAAAAAAAATACTAAAAAATTCTGATTTTTATTTATTTATTTATAAATACCTATAAATACCCTTCACTTTCAACATCAATCCTCATACATTTTATTCTACTTCTACTATTTCTCAACATTTTATTCACTCTTTACTCAACATTTTCCTCCCTTTCACCTTGTATTTTTATTTCTTATTTTTATGGCTTCTTCTATCGAAACCGGAGGGGCGTGGAGCACCATGGAAGATGTTTCTTTGTGTGAGGCTTGGCTCCAAGTTTGTCATTGTCCCGTGACAGGCAATGAGATGAAATTTTTTCACATGTGGCAAAAAATTCATGCCAAATTTTGCGAAAAAATTCCGGGGTCGACTCGTACGGAAATGACATTGTCTAGTAGGTGGAAAATGCTCAATAAAGAGTTGGGAAAATGGAGAGATGCCTTAGCAAAAGTAATGGACAACTATAGAAAAGGGTAAAATCGTACTAACGAGGTAAGTATTTTGTAATTTTCATTTTATTAAGTTTAATGTCCTAATATATATATGTTGTTAATATTTATTGCATTTTCAATATTTCGTTAATATTTCTTGCATTTTAAATATTTTGTTAATATTTCTTGCATTTTCAATATGTTGTTAATATTTCTTGCATTTCAAATTGTTTCTTAATATTTCTTGCATTTTCAATATGTTGTTAATATTTCTTGCATTTCCAATTGTTTCTTAATATTTCTTGCACTTCCAATTTATTTGTAAGGTTAATTGCATTTCCATTATTATTTTTTTGTTACTTGCATATCCAATATATTTTAAATATTTCTTGCATTTCCATTTTTTTGTTAAATAGATGATTCAAGCACAGATGTGGTTCGGTGCAACCGGGGATGGCAAAAAAAGTTTCAACCATCATGAATGTTGGGAGGTGGTGAAATATTGCAAACGCTTCATAATTATTCCCACGGGTCCCGCCGTTGTGTTAAACGAGACGCCACTCCATGATTCAACGACATCCGATTCACCTCTCGATTCCCCTATGAGTCAAGACTCACCCATCGAAAAGGAGCCGAGGCCCATTGGCCGAAAGGCTGCGAAGGCAAAGAAAACGGGTAATTCAAGCAATAATAAAAGTTTTTTGAGGAAATTGCAAGGCAGAACGCCATAAGAATTGAAATGGAGCAGAAACGCCAAGATATAGAGGTGGCAATTCAAGCCGAGTGTGCATGAGAAAGGGAGTATTTGTGCAAAAAAGATATGGAGAAGACGGATTGGGAAACCACCATGACGATGGATACAAGCCATATGTCCCCTGAAACAAAACAATATTGGGAGGTAGAACGAAGAGATGTTATGAGAAGAAGACTTTTCCAGGATGATGGGCCTAGCAACACGGATTGGTTAAATGATCAAAACCATTAAATTAGTTGGCATACCTTTTATGTATTTTTATTTTTCATGTTTTCTATTACAGTTGTTGTAATTCATGTATTTTATTTTAGTAGCAGTAATTCTTATGGACTTGTATTGGATTTCTTTATTTAATAAACAAAGCATTTAATAAAAGACCTTCGTATTCAACATATTCCATACATCAAACAAAACATAATTAAAATAAAAAAAACTACAAACAAGGCACAATAATAATAACAAACCACAACCAAACCATAATAAATAAAAAACAACACAACCAAACCATAACTAAATAAAACATAACCAAAGCATCTATGCTCCACCATTCATCTTCATTGCCTTTCAGCGCCCATAGATGCTCCGTCAAGTCAAGTTGACGCCTTTCACGAATATACGAAGATTGCATCTCTGTATATCGATCTATCATCCGGGTTATGAAACGACCATCCCTCACCAACGGTTCCGGCTCAAGGCCGTGTTCATTGGGTCTGGTTCGTAGACCTCTAAAGCATCATAATCGTACTCATCCTCCACAATCATATTATGGAGGATGATGCAAGTTATCATAATGCTTATGAGGATCTCCTCATCAAACATACGGGCCGCACCTCGAATAATCAACCACCGAGCTTGAATGATGCCAAAACACCTTTCGACATCTTTCCTATATCCTTCTTGATAGGTAGAAAATAATTTTTGCTTCTGGGATCGGGGATTCGGAATGGATTTGACAAATGTAGTCCACCTCGGGTAGATGTCGTCAGCTAGATAATACCCTATCTGGTAGACTGTATTGTTGACTTGATAGGTGAGCCTTGGCCTCTCAAAACATCGTTGAAGACCAGAGATTGACCCAGCACGTTGAGGTCATTTTGGGATCCGGCAACTCCGAAGAAGGCATGCCAAACCCATGTGTCGAAGCCAGCAACAGCTTCAAGGATGATACTTTTTTGGCCTTTTCTATTTCCGTAATCACCTTGCAAGGCAGTTGGGCAATTTTTCCATTGACAGTGCATGCAGTTGAAGCTACCAATCATTCCTGGAAATCCTCGAGCTTCGACTTTTTGTAGAAGCTGTTGGAGGTCCCTAGAAGTAGGTCTACGCAGGTAGTCCATAGTGTACAGATTTTCAACTGCATCAAAAAATCTTACCAAAGCCTCCAACGTAGTGGACTTCCCCATCCGGGCAATCTCATCCACCTGATCAGCAGATGCTCCATACGCCAACATTCGTATAACAACTGTAAGCTTTTGCTCCAGAAGAAGCCCCAAAACCCCAGTAGCATCACACTTTTGAACAAAGTATGCATCATAATTGCAAATATCATGCATGACTTTATTGAATAAATGGGGTTGCATTCTAAATCGCCTTCGAAAATCAACATCAGAGTACAAAGAAATTGGGATAAAATAATCTTCCAAAAGATTCTTACCCCGAAAATGCCTATGTCTGTCCACATTCAGGCGACGACCGACTTGTGAACCACGGCGGCGACCTTAGTTCTTCATCTTGCAAAGCCACTGCTATGAGAACTTGTTCATCGACTTGTCTCTACAACTCATTGATTTCATTTGCTCTACGGTTTCTCTCATTTCTTTCTCGCTCTTGCCTCTCCAAGCATCTCATATATTCTTCCATTGAGAATGAATGGAGTATGAATTCTAAAATATAAGAAATGAAACTATAGAAAGATGTGGTGTGAGAGGTATGAGCTGAGCCTTTGGTTTTATAGAAAATTTTGGCAAGATAGAGATGCCACGTGGCTTGATTTGATTGGATGAAAATCTTATCTAAAATTTGAAATTCATTTGAAATTTGAACCCAAATTTATCTGAATTTTGAATTTTGAACCCAAATTTATCCGAAATTTGAATTTTGAAATTCATCCGAAATTTGAACCCAAAAATTTATTTGAAATTTGAATTTTGAAATTCATTCGAAATTTGAACCCAAAAATCTTATCCGGAAATTTTATCCGATAATGAATAGTCTTGACACGTAAGAACCTGGAAATCTTATCCGAAAATATTATCCAAATTAATTATTGAGATAAAAAAATTTGTGAAAAAACAAAAAAAATGAATAATAACTGCCCTTAGCCATGGCAATGGATGGAAACACAAAATACTATTTGCAAGGGCAACCACTATTCACGTGAATAGTGGCTGCCCTAACTCCCCCCTTGCCATGGCTAAGGACAAATGGGTGGAGTTGCTCTAATGGATAGCGGATTCACTGTCTTTGGGTCCTCTCTATTTGCCCTCTTTAAACATTTGACACGTGTCCTACCATTTAACAGAGAATTAAATCTGTTAACTTCTTTTATTTTGCTTTTAAAAAATTAAAAATTAAAAACTCCAAAATAGTCTGGAGCATCCTCTGGCTTTGGCCTGTCAACTCTCAAGCCCCACCCAACCACATCTCTAAACTCTCAAGCCCTAAGTTTCAATGCAACACCACTTCTTGTGCTCTATCTCTATTCGCTGACTACCTTCTAGGACGAATACCATAGCCCATTTTGAGGAATTAAGAATTCAACATTGGGACTTCCCACCAAGGCTTTCATGGAGACCATGACCCAATCATGAAAAGGTTCATATGCAAATGCATAATTAAGAATTTAAGTTGTTCATTGATGTGATTATGTGGTTCGTTGTTGTAGATATCTCCTGGTGTTGTACTGAATTTTGGAATGATATAGTGTGTATGAGAAGTGTGAGATAGTTGAATGCATATTACTTGTTCGACAAAATGTGCAGCTGGTGGCTTGTGGATTTCCTGCTCTGTTTTTCTGCTTGTTGGCTTTGATGAAATATTTGATTGAACAAAGGTATACTCAAGAATTTAAATTGTTCATTTGATTATCTGGGCTTGAAGGAAACAGAAGATAAAAAAAAATATACTAGATTGGTTTTATTCTTGTGGAGATTAGAAGGGAGGAGAAATCCTAAACCTTAAAATGACGTTGTCTTTGCCACAAACACATCATTAGGATTGAAAATGTAAATAGGGAACCCTATTTCTGATAAAAACTGAGGGCTGTGTACAAATGAAAGCAAGCATAACCCATGGGCTACTGAAATGGTCTTCGAAAAATTGAGCGAACCATGCCTTCCACTTGGTCGTGTAGTGTTTTTCTACTTTGGCATTAATAGAATTGTACATGGTATGGGCAAGCACCATATCAGGCCCTATCTCGTTAAAGAGGTCGGCGAGGGATTGGTCCCTCCCACGCAAGTTGCAAAGTACGCGGGCTGACCGTAGCTGCTTAGCATCGTCGGGATGAGCAATGAGTGAACTGAGGAAGCGGAAGTAAGAGATGACACCAAAATTATTTGGGAAATCAGGACACATTTCGTAGTCTATCAAATCAAGAACAAAGACTTTGCGTCTTTGTTTATTGGAGGAAGACTAAGAAATCCAACAAAGCCTAGAGAAGTAAAAGATATGTCCCACAAGTTGCTAGTTTTGCTGCACCTAAAATGAACCCCCGCTGCCTTAAGCTCCTGTGCATTGCGAAAAGATGGCGAATTGTCTTCTTTGCGATGATCATCATTGGGAACCTTTGGTGGTGGACCTAGCATTCTTTCCCGAAGAAAATCAAGAAGATGATAAGTGGGTGACCATAATCAGGAAGATGATGAGTGGGCCGAAGATAATCAGAAGGATGATTGATGGGTTCTTCTCCCATTCCTAAATAGGCTATATATCCTAATAGCTCGTGCGTGAACTCTAATCTTCAATAGCGTCTCTTCGCTCTCCCTTTTTAGCCAGTAGTGTCGACTTGTTGCATTAATAGACACATTGACTCCCACATAATATTATTAGTTACATTTGACAGAATATGAGATCCCTCTTGCAATACATATATATATTTTTATAAAGTTTGGAAATGCTATAAAACAAACAAGAGGATTCCAACATGTAATCTGCATGATTAATTTAGGGATTAATTACAACAAAGGCCACACATGATCACAAATTGTTTATTTATTTATTGTTTCTTTTTTCCGAGAATCACATCGATTATGAAATGACAACTTACAATAAGCATGTTACACACAAACTTCAACTAAAATCAAAGAAAAAGTTCCACCAAATATAGAGAAAAGCACACATGTTCAACTTACCTTATTTTACTGTAAAATACCAAATGGAGAGAGGACCCTTGAGAAGCTATGACTTGTGAAAACCTCTAGAACAAGTCGTAATTGGGGGGAAGTACAGAACCATGCAGCACACAAATTGCAAAGCAGCAAATGTATTTTTAGTACCTGAAAGGCTGAAGTACGTAGTCCTTTTAGTACCCGCGGTCTTTCAGGTACTCAAGTAAGGCCTCACATGGAGCGGTACCAGAATTGGCGGCGTACCACGTCTGAGCAGCGGTCATCCCAAGCCCTAAGAGAACACCAATGAAAGCCAGGATAGTCCAGGGGCTGCTGAAATGTTCATGAAAGAATTGAGCCATCCATTTCTTCCAATTGGTTTTGTAGTGATCTTCTATCTTGCTTTTAACATCGGAGTAAATTGCATTGTTAGGCACCAAGTCAGTGCCTATCTCATTGAACAGTTGAGCCACCTCATCATCACTCCCAAGAAAGTTTCGAAGTATGTGCTTTTTCCTCAGATGCTTCACATCATCCGGATGATCAATGAGCGAATCAAGGAAGCCTATGTAAGAGGTGACCCCGAAATCGTTCTGGAAATCAGGACACATTTCGTAGGCTATCAAGTTCATGAACTTAGGCCCCATCGAGTCGTCTACTTTTATTTTGGGAAGATAAAGGAACCCACAGCATAGAATGCTCTTAAACTTTATGTCTCTCAATGCAGTTGGCCCCTTTTGCTGCCAAAAATAGATCCCGGCTGAGTGAAGCTCTTGTACATTGCGAAAAGATTGGGCACTTGACTTACCATTTTTCTTAGGAGGATGAGTTTGCTCTGGTTGGGCACTTGCACTTGTCTCACTTTTTTTCTTAGGTTGATGAGTTTGCTCTGGTTCCATGCTTACTACTACGTGTTGTTGCGTGTTTTTTGCTCCGCCTGCTCCCGGTTGGGCACTTGCACTTGTCTCACTTTTCTTAGGTAGATATCGTAGCATTCTTGTCAGAAGACGCCCAAGAAGATGAGTTTTCTCTGGTTCATCATGCCGTTGTGTGTTTTGTGCTACGCCTGCTCCCGGTTGGGCACTTGCACTTGTCTCACTTTTCTTAGGTGGATATCCTAGCATTCTTGTCAGAAGATGCTCAAGAAGATGAGTTGGCTCTGGTTCCATGGGTTGAGGCTCTTGCTTCTGATCACCACCGTGCATCTGAACAAACTTTTCGATTGAGTCCTTCAAGTCCTCGTGTATGCTGCTCGAGCTCATCAAGAGCTTGAGGAGTTGATAAGGAAGTTGGTTCTCGAGCAAGAACATGTCCTGTTCTGCAAAGGCCACCTGGTCTCTCTTGATCCCAAAACATTCTAAGTCATCATATTTGTATATGAATTCCAGCGTCGAACACCCATCAACGAACAGCATCCAGGCGAGGGAATCATCGTCAAAGTCCTTTGTTGCTTCCTCATCATAGCACTCCCTTAGATCCTTGATTTTCTCTTCAACCTTCTTGAGCAAATCTGCATCATTCTGCTTACTGTCAAGCACAAAGTTCCCAGCTAACTGAAGCTTGATTTTCTCTGCCTGCTCGTACTTTGGTTTAATACCATGGTGGAAAGGACCGATGGCAGCTACCCTTGGCTCGTAGTATTTGTCGTATTTTTTGTTATCCCGGAGCATGAAGGGAACCCTTTGGATCTTTGGTTTGGCACCCTGAGTTGTTGAATTTCCTGCTGCTGCTGCTGCCGCTTCTGCTGCTGCTTTCCTGAGTTTTTCGAGTCTCTCCTCCTTAGGACTAGTTTTTATTGCCTCCTCATGGATTGTAATACTCGCCTTTGAAGTTTGCTCAATTTCTCCTCTGCTTACTTGCCCACCTCCTCTTCTTGTGACTTGCCTCACAAACAGCTCCTTCTCCGTGGAAACTACATTTTCATTTGTTTGGGCCATTTAATTTCAAACTGCTGCTTGTCGAAATGAAGATTTGTGGCTATTCTTTTCTTTTTTCTTTTTTTTTCTTTTCGGTTTGGCCTGAATAATCTGTCGATGTCATGCATATTTATATATAGCACAACATGCCACAGAAATTCATCACTTGGGCTTCAAGAAAATAGAAGCTTAATTTATAAGGGTGATGCATATTTCTATATGAAACCATATTGATAGTGAAGGAACAAGCACAGTTGAATGACTTTATATGAATGGGAAGATTGGTATATTATATTTTTATTAGTAAGTACACTAATCATATGAGAGCTTTTTGTCTCCATATCAGATAAAAAGTCTGCTTGCCTTGTAACTTTAATCATGTTGTTTTGGACCACACTCTGAAAAAAGAGAAAGTTTTGCTCATCATGAAGATTGGCTTGCCCAAAATATTACGACTTGCTAATATACTTACTTGGAATAGTTTCTTTCTCACTAAAAAGAAGGAAAAAGCTAGCTAGTGTTGTACGAAAAGAATAAAAAATGTGATGCGCATGTAAAGTAGAGTTTGCATCCGTAAAGAGAAATTTTCAAATAAAACGATCAAGAATGTGAGTCACGTAATATATAACTAAAAAAAAAAAAAGTATATATCTATATCGTATATATCATATATGTATATCATATACATATAATATATATACACTTGTATATTATAATAATAATATATATTATAAATACTATAAACATTATATATGTATATATACATATATTATACATACATAATATATATATATATGTGTGTGTGTGTTTATACATGTATATATGTATATATTATTATATATACATATATATATGTATATTATAATATATAATATATATACGGGTATATTATTATTATATTTAATAAGTATATGTGTATATAGGTATATCATAATAATAATATACCCGTTTAATTAGAATATATGTATATATATATATATTATATGGGAGCTAATTTTCCCACTCCCCTTTTCTTTATATGTGTATGTACGTGTATATATGTACATTATAGTATATGTATATGTAAGTATAATATAATATAATATAATATATAGATATATAATAATAGTAATAATAATAATAATAATAATAATACTAATAATAATATATGTTGTTATTATTATTACAATATAATATATGCATCCTATACATTGGTGAGCATGCTACTAGTTAATCTTCCCTTTCTACATGGGTTTATTAGTCCCCACCTAAGGAGATCTTTTTGGTGGGCCCGGTATTAGCAATCTCATCTAAGACTAGGATTAAATGAAACAAACATGGGACTGTTATAAAACTGAATAGAGAAAGTATATGAAAGGTAAGAGTAGTTCTCAATAGCTCAATGCTCAAGTATCTTATTCATCTTTAGTGCCTACTATTTATAGACATAGGAAATACATCACCATTTATCACCCTTAAGTAGTGGGTTACAAAACATAATAACCAATGATAAATATAGTATTTAGTGCATAGGTTACAACCCTATAATGATAGGTATAATGGAGGAATTACAATGGACTTATGGTGGGCATCCATAACCTTTGAGGTTACAACACTCCCCCTTGGATGTCCACCATGCATGGAGTATGCCTCGTTAAAAACCTTGCCAGTAAAACCTAGTGGGACAAAAACTGGTCGAAGGGAAAAAGAGTGCATAACCATGTGTAACATAAAATTATGTGCATATAACACTGACACGCGTGCGACACTGCCTCATTAAAACCTTGCCAGGAAAAACCTAGTGGGACAAAAATCTAGACGAAGAAATTATATGGTCACAATATGGCAAGGTTTTTCCCACTGGGTTTTTCCTGTACAAGCGTGTGGAATTTTTACAACAATCAAAATATGGTTACAGGAAAAACCCAGTGCGGCAATGCCAATTACGACAATCAAAATATGGTCACAATATGGCTTAAAGATATTTTGTGAGCATCAGGGGGAGCGTGCCATCAATAAGATCTTCACATGCTTGTATAAAAATTTCTTCAATATCATCATTGGAGGATACATGTGTGTCATTCTTTTAAATCCCTGTTGAGGTTAGAGTAATGCCAAAAATATCTAGACTATTTTAAAAAATTAACAATTCTTAAAATAACATCATATTCTAAAATATCATCAAAATAATAATATAAGCAAATTCATACGTTACCGTTACAAGGATAAGAGTATAAAATTGCATGATGTAATATACTATTCATATAAATTTTGTATACTATACTAGCTTGTCATAGGCTCTTCAAGAGACCTAAATATTCTGATAACTTCTTTTAAAAATTTGAATACGTTGCAACAATTTTGAACTTGAATTTGAATTCATAACTCAGTCAATACCCTCACTTGAGGCAATTAGATCATTTTCATTTCATGAAAATTGAGTATAGACATTAAGCTTCAGGCTCCTTAACTTCTTAGAGATTTACTTTCAATAATTTATATAATGTATGACATTTTACATATCTTAGAATTTATTAGTACGTATTCTTCAAAAGATCGCTTCTGGCGATATGCTTAACTTCATAATCTTTTAGATTTGTCATCTCCAATTCATTTATTAAATCAGGGGAATCCTTTGTAACTCTTCAAGAGTTCTAACAAAAATTTTCATATATATACTGCAATGATGGTAAACTCATTTCCAAATTATTTATATATCCCTTTTATAATAGATATTCATTAAGACAATTATACCATATTCTTCCACAATACTTTAATCCACACAAGGATCATTACAAGCTATCATATTTTAATCATTTGCTTCAGGCATTCTGAATCCTTCAAGAAATTTTTATACACATGAATTTTCCATAAATATGCATAACATAGCTGCATATGTTTACCGTCATAATCCCGTATCTTTACTGGGAAACGTTGTACCATATCATCAGGTGATTTATTTCACTTCATCTCAAACACCAATTTGTAACATATACATTTTTATATCCTTTTGGTGTTTAACTATAGGTTCAATCATTGCACTTTTTCCGGAAATATCCAACTTTACTGGATTGCCTTTTCCAGTTGGCCAATCTTTATTTATATTTGTCGACAATTATAACAAGTGGTGCAATATCATCATGTATAGCCCTTGATAACTTTAGTACGTACTACAACCCAATATATCATCAATTCATGATCCGACGATTCTAATATGCATGCGCATGCATAATTTATAAGCATCTCATTGCTTTCATTATTTTCTGGTACCAGTGCCACTTCAGAGGCTTTCATTGTCACTTCATGGACAAATATCTCTTCTAAGATGTATAATTTATAGAATGTGGATCATAACCTCTTCTAGAGCGTTATTTTGAATAGGGCTTAAACTTCGCAATTAATCTCATCTTCTGAGGATTTAAGTCTTTTGAATTTATAGATCTGTCATGCTTCAAGCATCTAACAGCTTTTATAGGGAGTTCAGTTTTTGCAATCTATAAATCTGTCATGCTTCAGGTATGCAACAAATTGGCTATTAGTAGTCACTTACTTTGTGTTTGTATATGCTTCTTGTCATTTGACTTACAATCCTTTTGTGTTTGAATATGCTTATGACATTTGTCTTTTATACCAATTTGTTTCATGAGACAATCATTCATTATTTGTAATCATTCACGGCGTTATTTGTTCTTTCAGGAACAACTAAATCTCCCCCTAACGACGGGAATTTTGGTCTCATCAAAATAATACCAAGAATGTCATAAGTATTGTCCGTCGGGGACCTTAATTCATGTCATAAGTATTGTCCTTCAAGAACCTTAATGCATTCGGCGTGCATCATATTAATATTGACATGTTAATGGGTTGTCCTTCTGTGACTTTAATTTATGCAGTGAATTATCAATGTATTCAACTTGCAATCTTTAGAATTTGCATTGTATTTAATCATTTAGAAATATATAAATATAAGGATGATTCAAGCCTTTCTTCTAGAATGGTCTTTTGTATGTAACCCAAGTCATTCTTCTAGAATGATATTTTGTACATAATGCAAGTCGTTCTTTTGGAATACTCTTTTGTACATAAAACATGTCGTTCTTATGGAACGATTGCTTACATGTCATTCTTCCATAATGGTCTTATCTTCTCATTTTGTGCTTTGAACTACTGGTTCAAATTATATATAAAAATAATTAAAATTAAGAACCAAGGAACTCGAAAGTTCCAATTAGAATTTGGTTACAATATTTTGATTCCATTGTGGAAAACATGATAAATATATAATTTTTCAAAAAAATTTGATTCTAAACTTCAGGTTCAAATTAAAATATCATATATGTTATGCCAGAGCTGCAGGATATTGACAATGTATGAACTGCAGGTTCTTGATAAGGTATGAACTTCAGGTTCATATTAATATTAATCTTAATAAAAATGATGAACTTTGGATATATATTTACATATATCTGGAACTTCACGTTCGAATACATATATCAAATTTAAAAAGGATATATGGTTTTGAACTTCAGGTCCAAATTTGTATTAATATGATATTTTTCAAGGAAATAAAATAAAACGATAATAATAATAATAAATTAGAAAATCTGAAATCCAAACAATGTTGAAACTTCAAGTTTTCATCATGATGTATAGTTTTCAACCCAAAATCATAATACATATGCACTTGTTGAAATATCAATTTGAAGGTTGACACAATTAGAACTTCAGGTGATAGAATTTCCTTTTTTTTAATTTAATGCACATGTAGCCGAAACTTACAATTTGGATTAGACATAATTAGAACTTCGGGTTCTAAGATTTTTGAACTTCATGTCATATTAGGAACTTCAAATCCTTAATTATAAATTATTGAAATGAAAACAAAGAACTGAATATAACAAGAAAAATAAAATAATAAAATAATAAAGATACTGTAATAAAATAAACTATTGGAACTTCTGGTTCCAGTTAAAGAAAATCAAAGAACTCCAGGTTTTGTTTTGGTTTCTAAGAATTGCATAACTCCAATTCCTTGTATAGAT